GGTGCGGCAGTAGGTGCTTGCGTTGGTGCAGCAGTAGGTGCTTGCGTTGGTGCAGCAGTAGGTGCTTGCGTTGGTGCAGCTGTAGGCTCTGAAATAAAGAAATAATTCTCCAGTATTTTTTAAAATAGATAAATTGAAGATCAGGGCATAACAAAATGCATCAATAATCTTAAAATCACACGATAGAAAAAAGAAATGAAAGCAAAAAATTAAATTAAATCGGCGAACTTTGCATACTCTATGAATACCGGAAATTTTTTTCGCAAAGACTATAATTTAATTACCTGGAGTTGTTAAAACTTCAAAATCAGTGTAGCTATGCTCTTGTCCACCATATGGGATATAGCATACACCTTGTGTACTCAATTTTCCAATGACAATGACAGTTCCTAAATGATTGGCACGGCAAACATAAACAGGACCACCATCTTCAGGTTCAACACCTAATTAAAAACAAAATTAAATATAATTTATCGATGATAGTTTGAAGTGTTTTGAAAATTACCAAGCAAAGCATTTGGTGGAATATTCGATCCAGCTCCAGCTACCCAACTACCGGATCCAACGTATACTTCGAATTCAGATGTTGTATGTTCCTTACCACCCAAAGCAACAAAGCAAGTACCAACTGATGCAGCATATTTTCCAGGAATCAATACACCCGCATGATGAGCTCTACAAATCGTAAAAGTTACTCCATCATTGCCTCCAACAATAGCTCCTTCAGGGATTGTTAAACCAACACCATTAACCCAGTTTGAGGTGGGTGCTTGCGTTGGTGCAGCAGTAGGTGCTTGCGTTGGTGCAGCTGTAGGCTCTGAAATAAAGAAATAATTCTCCAGTATTTTATAAAATAGATAAATTGAAGATCAGGGCATAACAAAATGCATCAATAATCTTAAAATCACACGATGGAAAAAAGAAATGAAAGCAAAAAAATAAATAAAATCGGCGATTTTCGCATACTCTATGCATACCGGAAAATTTTCTTGGCAAAGACTGTAATTTAATTACCTGGAGTTACTAAAACTTCAAAATCAGTGTAGCTATGCTCTTGTCCACCAAATGGGATGTAGCATACACCTTGTGTATTCAATTTTCCAATGGTGACTGTTCCTAAATGATTGGCACGGCAAACATAAACAGGACCACCATCTTCAGGTTCAACACCTGATTAAAAACAAAATTAAAAATAATTTCTCGATGATGATTTGAAGTGTTTTGATAATTACCAAGTACAGCATTTGGTGGAATATTCGATCCATCTCCAGCAACCAAACTACCGGATCCGACGTATACTTCGAATTCAGATTTTACATGTTCCTTACCATCCCAAGCAACAAAGCAAGTACCATATGATCCAGCATATTTTCCAGGAATCAATACACCCTCATGAAGAGCTCTACAAAGGATAAGATCTTGTCCACCATCTTGGCCTCCAACAAACGCTTCCTCAGGGATTACTCCACCAACAACATCAACCCAAAGTGAAGTGGGTGCTTGCGTTGGTGCAGCAGTAGGTGCTTGCGTTGGTGCAGCAGTAGGTGCTTGCGTTGGTGCAGCAGTAGGGGCTTGCGTTGGTG